TGAGAAATGATCGGTTAAGTAGCGATCGGTTCCATGTGCCACGTGCATGGCCGATGCACTCGGCCATGAGCCTCGTGCATGACCTATGCACTCGGCCACGAGGCTCAGCCAGGACCGATGCACTCGGCCACGATCATCGGCCACGTCCCATGCACTCGGCCACGATGCTCGGGCACGACGCACGGCCAAGAACGATGCCCGGGCACGATGCACAGGCGCGACCCTCGGCCATAAACGAACGACGCACGGGCGCGATGCTCGGCCATGAACGATCCACGGGCCCGATGCACGGGCGCGACCCTCGGTCATGAACGAATGATGCACGGGCGCGATGCTCGACCGTGAACGATCCGCGGGCACGATGCACAGGCGCGACGCTTGGCCATGAACGATCCACGGGCACGACCCTCAGACATGAACGATGCATGGCACGATGCACGGGCATGAGCACGCCCATAAACGATGCACGGGCACGGGCACGATGCACGGGCGCGATGCTCGGCCATGAACGATGCACGGGCACGATGCACGGGCGCGATGCACGAGCATGAACGATCCACGGGCACGATGCACGGGCGCAATGCTTGGCCATGAACGATCCACGGGCACGATGCACGGGCGTGACCCTCGGCCATGAACGATCCACGGGCACGATGCACGGGCGCGACCCTCGGCCATGAACGATGCATGGCATGATGCACGGGCACGAGCACGCCCATGAACGATGCACAGGCACGATGCACGGCCATGAACGATCCACGGGCACGATGCACGGGCGCGATGCTCGGCCATGAACGATGGACGGGCACGAAGGACGGGCGTGATGCACGGCCATGAACGATGCACGGGCACGATGCACGGCCATGAACGAGACACGGGCACGATGCAGGGGCGCGATGCTCGGCCATGAACCATGCACGGGCACGATGCACGGGCGCGATGCACGGCCATGAACGATCCACGGGCACGATGCACGGGCGCGATGCTCGGCCATGAACGATGCACGGGCACGAGCACGGCCATGAACGATGCTCGGCCATGAACGATGCACGGGCATGAGCACGGCCATGAACGATGCACGGGCATGATGCACGTGCACGACGCTCGGCCATGAACGATGAACGGGCACGACGCTCGGCCATGAACGATGTACGGGCACGATGCTCAGCCATGAACGATGCACGGGCACGACGCTCGGCCATGAACGATGCACGGGCACAAGCACGGCCATGAACGAAGCATGGGCACGATGTACGGGCACGAAGCACGGGCACGAACGATGCACACGGGCAATACGCCCTGCCACGAACGAGGCACGGGCACCATTCACGCGGGGCCCCATGCACACGGGCACGACGCTCGGCCACGAACGATGCACACGGGCACGCGCACGGCCACGAACGATGCACACGGGCAATATGCCCGGCCACGAACGAGGCACGGGCACCATGCACACGGGCACGACGCTCGGCCACAAACGATGCACGGCACGACGCACGGCCACGAACCATGCACACGGGCAATACGCCCGGCCACGAACGATACACGGACACGAGGCACGGGCACCATGCGCACGGGCACGATGCACGGCCACGAACCATGCACATGGGCAATACGCCCGGCCACGAATGAGGCACGGGCACCACACACGGTAACGAACATCGCCGCACGGGCACGACGTAGGCCACGAACCATGCACACGGGCACGACGCACGGCCACGAACCATGAACCCGATCACGATGCGAGGTACAGGGACATAATCCCTACGGGCACGACCAGGCCATGTGAAGAGTTGGCACTTGTTTGTTGTACGAGACTTCTTCTTATGCACACAAGTCATGGCATACGGTCAGAACATATAACTTAGCATATCATGAGCTACCACACCACCATCATTAGTCGAAGAAATGCGAAAATTTCCATTTACAACGGATACGGGGGTCGCTTATGAAAACGCGACTTTTTCTTTTGCACTCAAGTCATTTCAAGAGTTGGCATGTTGGTCGAACCAAGTTACTCGGAGCATTTTCGTTTCACTTTATCAAAACAACTGACTACTTAGGCACACGATGGAACACGGTCTACACGGACCAAGGTGCATGATCCACATCCACTCGGGACACGACCAAGCGCACCATTCACATTCCATAAGCACATTGCCGGCTGAACCAACCAAGTTCCTCGGAGCAATTTCCTCTTGTGTCTTATGATGCATTCTCTCGAGTCAAGTTTTTTCTGTGTGTGACCAAGGCACACGATCCACATCCACTAGGCACGGTGACTACTTAATTAGGCACAATGTCCACACGGACTAAGGCACACGATCCACATCCACTAGGCACGCTGACTACTTAATTAGGCACAATGTCCACACGGACCAAGGCACACGATCCATATCCACTAGGTACGCTGACTACTTAATTAGGCACAAGATCCACACGGACCAAGGCATACGATCCACATCCACTGGGCACATGATCAAGCGCACCATTCACATTT